ACTCACACACCAAAAGTCAAAATCATACCTCTTCTTAAAGAACAGATGCTTGTCTCCATGTCTTTGAATTGCCCTTTTTGATGTATGGAGAAAAGACTTGTCCCTTTACTGTCCCATGATTTATCATTTTTCTTAGCCGTCCTTATGAACATACTGAAGTTCTAGTGTAAATGATTACAAGAAACAGAAAAACATATCCAAGTTGGCATGGGGATACAGCATTGACAACTGGTGGTGAGGTACTTGCAAGCATATTTTGAGCTAGCTACTTGGATTAATTTTGCTGGAACAAGACTGTTCTCAATATGACAGTTCTCAACACTTAGTAGTTTTTTAATGTTCCCAGTAGGCTCAGCCCTGTACTTTGTAAATCAGAAAAAAATAAAATTAAGGTCTTTATTTTATTGCTTCAGAAATTACTGTCTTTTTTGTTCTGGTTTGTGTTTGTATGCTGATAATACATTTTCTGTAAAGGGACAAGGAGCAGACTGACCTGGAAAGGGAAGTCTTTTTTATGTAGAATGTCTTTGATCACTCACTAGACTTGTGCTCTGATCTAAGCTCACTGACATCAATGGAAGAAGGACTGCTATTGGCCTGGGGGGGAGGGCTGGCTCCTGTCCACACAGAGTCCACAGACGCAAAAGCAGATGCTGAAAGATAAAACATATTGGAAGCCAGTTACAGTAAAGATACTTTTCTTTGCATAAGGTTAGATTTATAACACAATCAGATGTCTTTTCACTTAATATTTTTTTCCTTAGTCCCTGACACATGAAACTCCAATTTCTACATCTGTTGTTGGTGTTTACCTGCAGATAAACCTTGGATACAGAAAAGGGGAGAGCTTGGTGGATACTTTCCAAAGCTTGAAAATGGAAGGCCTCCTCTATAGACACTCCTGGGACAGGAGCATAGGATAAGAGAAAATAAGGCTCCAGGGAAACCACCCCCACAGCTGCATTTCCCGCAGAAAGAGCCATTCCAGAGAGGGAACTCAGCACTACAATAATGGACATGGTCATCAAAGAAGGGGATAATTGCAGAGTCCACTTAAAAGATAAAGAGACTTCTAATGGGATTGTCTCTCTAGGTGACAGTTTCCAGACAAGGCAGATGAGCACAATGAAGTCCAGAGATGAAAAGTCAGTCAGTAAACAGTCCTAAAAGGAATCCTCTCCAGCTCACTTGGGGGAAAGAAGGCAACCTTCATTTTGACACGTACTGGTATATTCGGAAAGGTCATGGGGAGATCATGATAGTTTTGTCATGTGCCATTCTGCTGGCTACTTCTTCGGTACTGTCAATTCAGTAACTGTTTTATATTTCGTATTCAGAAAATTTCTCTCCTTCGATTAATGAGAAAATATAATGAAACAATGCTTTCCACTACCAACACAGTTTATTTCAAACAAAAGTCTCCAACTACTGTAAACACGACATTTTTGCTTGGGCCAGCCAACAGCATCCCTTCAGCCCAGACATTCCGGCCAGTGTGTTTCAAGTCAAGCATCTCTTCTCATTTGGTTAATGCCTCCTACAGAAGCACCGCAGCTATGCAGGAGAGGCAGCAGTTAGACAAAACTTTACCGCTGGCTTCGTCTTCAGACTTTGATCTGACTTTCACAACTTGATTCCTTTTAACATCTCACATGTTATATGCTGACCTTGCTTTACAACTTCAGCTGACTGACATAGGCTTACACCAGTGAAAACAGGCATAGGATTATGTACACGTAATGTCTCTACAAGGCATATAAAGATTTGTTCATTCAGAGCTTATTCCTTTAACATTGGGCTGAAATGGCAATAGTTTCACTGACATATCTGAGAGAAGAAGCAATGTTTACAAAGTGCTAGGTTTCGGGAAAGATGCCATAAAAAAGGAAAGTAAAATCATTAAAATATACTGCAAGAGAGAAATTGATTCCATGGATAGAGAACTGTGTCATTCCCAGCCACACTACACGTATCCCTCCATGCCTTTAAGGGTAGAATTAAATCCAGAAACTGAAATTTATAACCTCTTCCTTCCAAACCTGAATGTTTATCTTTATGGCAGGTGTATCCCATTCCACCCTGATTCACTTCTTCAGATTCTATTAAAAATCAGGAGTTTCCAACCAGAGGCTTAGAATGAACTGCATTTTTCACCCCTTTCTCCATTCACTCCTTTCTCCTGCTTGGCCTGGAGGCTCTGGGTAGCCTTTCCAGAGTTGCTAGGGTCTCTGGCTCCAGCTGATGCTCAGTAACTAAGAAAGTCAAACAGAAAACATTGGTCTAGAGAACAAAGGTTGATGCAAGAGAGTAGGTCTCTCATGTTTTGTCACAGTCAGGAGGAGCATGCAGGGGGAGAGGAAGGGAGAAATTGTGTAAAAAGCCATCTACTAAGAAAAGAATGTTTGATTTGGATCACAGGATGTGAGACTGGAGAATGTATTGCATAACTTTATGGCTTGTCCTTATTTGCAATGATTCACTATCCGGCACTGCTCATCCCATTTCTAAAAATGGTATTGAAAAGTTAGAGAGTATTGAGAGGTGATGGGAATAACTGAGGATTAGGAGGAAAACACCTTTCCATTTTACAGCAGATAGCAAAGACCAGGCCAGCAGGTCATCCTATGGGTTACTGCAGATCACTGGTTTTCTCCTTCCCCACTACCCCAGGGACATTCACTGGGTCAAATCCCAGCAGCCTCTGTTGCCAGAGACTCATCTTCTCCACGCCAAACTTCAGATCATGACAATCCTTTCTCAGTGGTATTTCTCTTACAACTGCGTAACAGGGCACACAGAGCTCCTCGTGCGGAGGACGAGAGATGAGGTGGGTGCAACGCTGTGGAGAGAGAGATACCCCTCACCACAGCCGTTTCTGAAGACTCCTCTGCCAAGACCAGCCCAGGTGGAGGAATCCAGTTAGAGCCCTGTTCAGAGGCATTTCTCTCTACCCCAAAGCGGGCACCTCTAGGACAGCCTTCTCTATCTGGGTGACTTAGTAGCATGCTCATTTCTCCCTACCCCTTGAAAGCAAGCATCATCCAAACCCACAGGTCTTCACCCCAAAACAACACTTTTCCCACTTCTGACCCTCCCCTGTGCCTACGCGGGGAAAGGGGAGCCGAAACATGGCCAGCCCCTTGGCATTGCCCTGCAAAGGCTGCAGCTCGGGGACTGAGCCCTGCTCACCCTGTCCTCTGCTTACTGCTGGTTTATGTTGGGGGTTTTTTGGGGGGCGGGTGATGTTAGTTTGGGGTTTTTGTTTGTTTGTTTGTTTTTGTCGTTGCTTTAAACGGATTCACAACCAACACCCAGTCAAAAAATAGGGAGTAAACGCCAGGCTCGTTAGGAGTTCAGGGAGCCGCTCATCAAACTTTGATACACACGCAAACTCCTGCTCTTTAAACAGTAAAAGGGGAGCGGGTGCAGGAGAGCTGGCAGACCGCAGCGGTGCTGGGCGGGGACGGACCGACCTCACTCACGGCTTTACGTTTTCCCTCTGCCTTCCCCCCACCGTTTCAAATCTGGGATGGATTAAGACAAGCCCGGAGTCGGGAGAAGCGCTTCCACCCGACGGCACCGGGAAGCAGCCGCTTTTGCTCCCGTAAGTACGCGGGGACCCGCGCTGCGCGGGAGCGGATAAAAACCCAAAG